AATTGACATAATGAAGATTACACATCATCACCCCCTACTGACAGACTCATGCCCACATGCAGGTGACAGCAGAGTCACCTTATGACAGAGGCAGCTGCCACTTGAAGGTACTCTTCGAGTGTTTGTGATGAGATATAAAACTGAGTTGCTGAGGCAATTAAACACCATATCAATGCTAATATAAATATAACAGTGGAATACTTAGAAGCTTATTGGCTCTTGATCCTGATACTTCATCTACCCAACCCACAGGTCAACAAATACTCGCCGCTCTTACTCTGCAGGTTGACCCAGGAATTCAGTGTTCAATTTCACGTTCTTTTCATTAAAGGCCTGTGACAAAGGTGAATCTATTGGAGCTTCATTGTCTCAAGCCTACCCATCTACCGGGTCTCCATTTGACTTTGTATTGTCTAAGAAGTCCACCCACACCTCCACTTCCACAAACTGCTGGGAGTTGCCTAGCTCTGCCTCGCAGTCAGAATTCTCCTCCTGCTTCACGTTGTCTCCATCGATGTGAAGGTACGATTTTGGAGTTGAATCTTCATCTTCACAGTTTTACCGTCACTTTTTCGCTCTTCACCATCACTTCACATTTCACCTTCACTTCTTCGCTCTTCATCACTTCTTCACATTTCACCTTCGCCTCTTCACATTTCACCTTGATACCTTTAAAAGTGTCCAAGCTGGGATTCACTTCTGGTTTCATGAGGGATGGGCTCATTGCAGCACTTTGACTTTCACAAGCCGATTTCAGACTCCATTTCTTGGGATCTTCTGATGCTTGTGTGTCCTCTGGTGTCTTTTAAGATTGATGACTATGCAAACGCCTTCCCACACAGAGTGCAACTGAAGGGTTTCTCCCGTGTGTGTTCTCTGGTCTATGAAGATGTGAATGTGCAAACGCCTTCCCACACACAGTGCACTTGAAGGGTTTCTCTCCGTGTGTGTTCTCTGGTGTAATTAAGATGTTGTGATTGTGCAAACGCCTTCCCACACAGAGTGCAACTGAAGGGTTTCTCTCCGTGTGTGTTCTCTGGTGATTTTAAGATGGTGAATGTGCAAACGCCTTCCCACACAAAGTGCAACTGAAGGGTTTCTCTCTCGTGTGAGTTCTCTGATGTAATACAAGAGCAGATGACTGTGAAAACGCCTTTCGCACAGACTACACTTGAAGGGTTTTTCTCCTGTGTGTGTTATCCGGTGTTTTTTAAGAGGAGATTTATCTGAAAATGCCTTCCCACACACACTGCACTTGAAGGGTTTATCTCCCGTGTGTTCTCTGGTGCGATACAAGACCAGATGACTGTGAAAACGCCTTCCCGCACAGACTGCACCTGAAGAGTTTCTCTCCCGTGTGTGTTCTCTGGTGGTTCCTAAGAACTGATGAATGTAAAAATGCCTTGTCACACACTGTGCACTTGAAGGGTTTCTCTCCTGTGTGTTCTCTGGTGTATTTTAAGATTTTGTGAACGTGCAAACGCCTTCCCACACAGAGTGCAACTGAAGGGTTTCTCTCCCGTGTGTGTTCTCTGATGTAATACAAGCGCAGATGACTGTGAAAACGCCTTCGCGCACAGACTGCACTTGAAGGGTTTTTCTCCTGTGTGTGTTCTCCGGTGTTTTTTAAGAGCAGATGAATGTGAAAATGCCTTCCCACACACACTGCACTTGAAGGGTTTTTCTTCCGTGTGTGTTCTCTGGTGGTTCCTTAGAACTGATGGATATGAAAATGCCTTGTCACACACAGTGCACTTGAAGGGTTTCTCTCCTGTGTGAGTTCTCTGGTGCTGTGTTAAATGTCCAACACGATCCATGCTGTATGCACGCTGGTCGCGTTGTTGCCTTTTTGTACCGAGCTGCGCTGAGTGCCTTTGTTCCATCAAACCAATTCTGCAGAGGAAGCGTCAGCTGCAGACAGAAAAAAGAGAATATCCACACTATCTACGTCAGTATTGAGGCACAAAGGAATGCATATATACAGTCACACATGACTTGCATGTCTATACTCATTCATATATTCATGATAATATGAAAAAGATTCCCAAATTCATCACACGGGCACACAATCAGAGGGCCAATGGTCAACCTGGAAGCCCTAGTATCTTCAAAATGAATGTTAACCTAAAACTCCAAGCACACAATTTCAGTTTTCTGGCTACAAAAAGAATATTTATGAAAGAAAAATGCAGCTAACATAGAAAAGGGTGTTGAAAATAATACTATTTTTATTATGCAGAAATGCATAAATTAATGTTCAATCGCTAACTTAGAGGCATGAAGCCAGGCTCAGATTTCCTTGAATGCTGGGATGAACAGATCTAACTTCAGCTGCATATGTGCAGTGTTAATTTCCGTTTCCATTATAAAAGCCCAAGGAAAAAAATAAACTATTGTTTTGATTTAACCCGTGTTCAATCGAGTTAATATACTTTACTGCAAATACAAACTTGACACTGTAACACACACTGGCATGGAAAAAAGGTGGTGGTGTGTTCAGAACCATGCCTGGCCACCTTCATATGCTCATTATTAATGCTTCCCCACAATAAGTTAAGTTTTCATGAATCAATCACGTTTGTTGTCAGAGATAATCAAACTTTAATTGTGATAACACTATGTAACACAATTTTTGTTCCTGGGTACTAAGTGTTATTTTTTTTATTGCTTATGCCTAAGAGTCTAGAAATTGGCTATTATTCCCCACAAATTTTGCTTTTGTGACCAGAATTGTACGTGAACGAAAATAACAAATTCACCTGTTTTTTCATTGAAAAGAGGTATATTTCTAAATATCACTGTCCTGGTCACAAAAGCAAAGTTTGTGGGGAATAGCCATTTTTTGTACTTAAGAGGCAAAAGCAATTAGGAAATAACACATACAGGAACAAGACATTTTTTTTGTTACACAGTGGAAAAACTGCGCCACCACTCCCCACATAGATAAACTCTTACATACACATATATTTCACATGAATGCCATGTAAGTGTGGATCACTTGTCAGCATGTCATGAGAATGATCCAGGTGTCAAGGGATGACTGACTGAGATGATTAACAGACGCACCAGCTGTGCTTCCTGCTGTCTTGCTGCATTTGAGGCACCCAGCGTTCCACCCATTCATGTGATCGTTGCTACTCCAACCTCATTGTTGTTGCAGAGCAAATACCTCCAACTCCCCTGCAGCATACGTCATGGGCCTTTCGAGAGGCCGATCTTGACAGCAGGTCTGATCAACTCCACATCCTCCAATCTCTTCTCTAGCCAATGCCATGCCCGTTTAGCCCGTAACATCTGGACTAACAGAAGATGATTGTGCATGCTGTCTGTTTATGCGGAATTCATGACCCAACCAATGCAGCCTCCCCTGCCAAAGTCTCAGATTATATTCTGTACTGATATTTTAGGGCTCTGTAAGGTTATAATACAATCTTGTTTGGTTCAATAGAGGGGATCATAGGCTGGCCAGTCTTAATTATAAGCCAGAACAGACGGTCCTTTAAATAAGTTAATATTTTGCATCTACAGAGAAAGGAGTAATATCTGTGGCCAAGAAGACTCGCAGCTTTGTTTGTTCGTTTATTTCTAAATCCTCTTGTCTTGGTGAGGGTTGTAGCGGCAGCAGATTTAGTAGGGCAGTCCAGACTTCCCTTTCCCTGGCGACAGACTCTGGATCTTCCTGGGGAATTCCCAGGCATTCCCAAATCAGCCAAGCGACATATTCCCACCAGCAAGTCCAGGCCCGGGCCCCGGGGACTTCCATCAGTGGGACGTGCCCGATAGAGTTCCAGGGGCAGTCTATTGGGGGGCCTCGTTACAGATATTGTATATTGATATCACTCGTGGAATGAGGCCTGTGGCTCGGTGACCCACGTAACCCATTTGGACCCAGCCTGGAATGGCTGCGTGGCACCGTCCTGTGCGCCCACCATCCACAGTACGAAGAGTGAGAGGCGGGTGCGACGCCAGTATGGCAGGGAGAGGGATGGTCTCAGACAGACTAGACCTTGGTGATGGACACTCACAGCTTTGTATGGCGCAAAAGTCCAGGCAGCTTCCACACAGTGTTACACAGTCTAATGAAAGAATGCTGCTAGACAAATTTAAAGTGAGACTTTGGCTGCCAAACCAGAGCTGGTCGTGAACACATTAACCAGGTATGGGAGCTCCTCCATTACTTGCAGAACTGCCTGATTACTCATGGAGAGTTGAGCAGGTACAGTGTTGTATGACATGAAATTCCCAGGCAGGTGATTTATTTTGGTGGAACATACGCAAGGCCACCTTTCATGATGGAATTATCCGGGCACAGAACGAGATTATCTAACCCGATCTCATTGAGTAGCCATTTCCAGATCATCAGCAGATATAACATGGTTGACCAGGGAACGATCCCTTAACTATAACCAGGCATCGATGCGCGTATCATTTTAACTGTAACGAATGCAATTATTTTATGGCTATTGTGAGCTTCTCAAATTACATAATTAAAAGATGCTATGTAATGCAATGCATGGGGGCAGAGTGAATTTCTGTCACAAGCCAAATTGAACAGCAAATGGCTCCAACTCCTGGTCACGCAGCTTTAGACGGGCTTGCCCAAAATCATAAAAATCGTCAATGAATGTGAGCAGAGCCAGAGACATAAAAAACAAAGAACAACCCAAACCCCAAGCCTCGATATGGTACGATAGACCTTAATTACATAAAAAAGCAGAGGCATTACTCTTAATGTTTGATTACTGAGACCTGAGCTAAGCCGGGTAACTTAGTTATTGCTGGATAAATACTATACTTCCGATGAAGTTTGTGTGTGAGTGGGGAGCAGTAGTGCAACGGTTAGCGTGCTGCGCTATGAACCCAGCGAGCCGATTTCTATTCCCAGAGCCAAGCCACAACATTTGGCTGTCGTTTGATGAAGCTGGTTGGAATTACTGTCAAAACGTTGTACTTAGATTGTAAATGTTGTGGCTTGGCTCTCCAACACACCGGTGAGATGTACTAGTACACTACACTACACACTAGTGCTGTACTAGTGACGCATTGGGCACGTTCTGTTTACCTGACAAACCTCTTACTAAATGGCTGTGTCGGGTGGTGGCGGGGTTAACGGCACATTGATTTATTTACGCGATCAATCCCAAACAAACCTGATTATGGCTGTATATTTGGAGTTTGCGTGTCCCTCTCTCTCCGTGGTCGCGTGGATTCTCCTCCGGATCCTGCGGTTTTCCCTGCACATTTAGAGTCAACATCACCACGCGTTTAGAGTATTTGACCGATAAACATTTCCACACGTTGATAAGCCCACTGCGTTGTGGGCAGGTCGCTTCTGAAAACGAGCGGTGTAGCTCAAGTGGGCTATGCCTGGTAAATAAAAAAAAAACGTTGAAATATTTAAAGTAAAACAAAGTTTCAAAGTAGTGAGCCAGGTGAAGACAAATTAAACTTAAGCAGAGAATTAAAGTAAATGCAATCAGGCGAGGGCAGAGGCAAGGCCCCGCATGGCTAGGCCCCGCGTTGTAATGTTCCAACCTGGACATCGATTCCATACTCGCTCCTCAATTGATATCCCTACGAGGGAGAAGGAGCGAGGCTCTACCTGGGTTCACAACAACACCACAACAACAACAACCACCACGATGTAAACTTCTCACCTCGGATCGCAGTGAGCGAGCGTGCGCGGAGCAGCAGCTACCTGGTAACTCGTGACGTCATGTGGCAGCAGGAGGTGACATGACGTCACTAGCGAGGTTCACACAATCCCCTCCCCCAACGAGCAGCAGGGTAACTGCATATATTATGTTAATGAGAGGGGCCCATATCAGGTGATGGTGCTTGGCTGCTGACCCCGTCCCATAAAAGCATTTTACTGGAACGGAAATCGGTAGACGTGACGTCACGCCCAAATCCCGGTGGAGGGGGATTTGGGGGGTATATACCTGGTGGCATGACGTCACTAGTGGGGGCCACCTCCCCCTCGCGCATCACGCCGAGTTAATGAGTGGTGACGTCAGAGCGAGATCAGGGTTAGAGTTCGAGTTTATTTAGATTCCATTTCTATGGCTCCCTCTCTTGAACAGAGACCCATTGGGTGCGTGAGCTCAACAACAACGTGAACATTATTGTGTGCGTGAACATTGTGTGTGTACACTGTTTGTTGGCGCAGTCGGGGGCATAGGTGATGCATTGGCCAGTCATTTAATTCAGTCGACCCATGACACCTGGATCTGCCCCGTGCATATAGCCTGGCACAAGCGCCGTGGTGACGTCACCGCCACTTAGTGGCGAATGGCGGTTGTTACGATCTAGGCTAGAGGAACCGAGCTGCCTAGGAGACTCGCCTCCGATTCCTGAAGTGCTGTGGGACCGCATCAAAACTGTTGTTCTGCAAACATCTGAAGATACCCTCGGATTCTCCACGAAGAAAAACAGAGATTGGTTCGATGAGAACAACTTAGAAGTCCAGGAGCTGCTGTCAAAGAAGAGATCAGCACACAGGCCCACCTGGCCCGACCATCCTGCCCGCACAAAAAGCAGCCTTCCGCCTGGAATGCAGCATCATCCAGCGCAAGCTTCGAGAGATTCAGAACGAGTGGTGGACCAACCTCGCAGTAAAAACTCAGGTTTGCGCTGATACTGGCGACTACAGGGGATTCTACGAAGCCCTAAAAGCGGTATATGGCCCTCGTACCAAATCCTGAGCCCCCTGCGGAGTGCAGACGGGAAAAAACTGCTCACTGAAAAGGACTCAATCCTGAACCGCTGGTCTGAGCACTTCTACACGCTCTTCAATGCTAGCCGCTCAGTCCAAGAACCAGCGATTGACCGCATCCACAACAACCAGTGAAAACCGAACTGGATGTGGCACCAACATTACAAGAGACTGAGGAAGCCATTAAACAGCTGAA